TGGGGGTTTGGTGGGTTTTTTTCTTTCTTTCTTTTCTTTTTTTTTTTTTTTTTCCGAAATTCGACGCCTCTCTCCCCCGCCCCGCCGGAGGTATCTACCCGCGGCGCGCTGCGGCCGGAGCCCGCCCCGAGCTCTCGGGTAACGGCCCGGCCGCGTCTCCGCCCGCGCGCGCTCCGGCCCCTCCTCCCGGGCGCCCAGGCGCGAGGCGCCGCTTGGAGCGCGTCCCTGTCCCTGGCGAAGGCCTGGCGGCCCCGGGCCGCGCTTTCGAGGATTCGCTCTTTCGCCAGCGGTCCTCGATGATTTCACGCAGGCGGCATCGCGAACGGCCCCCGGCCCCCAGACGAGCCCCTTTTGTGTTCTTTTCCGTGTAACCGGAAACAAACGAAACTTCGCTCTCCCTCCTTCCAGAGCATACAACGGTGCGTTGTTTTTCCAGCCCTGGGTCATGGACGTTTTCAAACATAAAGTTGAAAGAATGTCGCGGTGAACATTTTACCTTTAACTTTGGAGGATTTTTCTTCATTGGAATTTGTACCGCGCCGTACCACGCTACACCTCTATTCATGCGTCCTTATCTTTTGATGCATTTCTAAGCAATGCTTATTTTTAAAAAAAGACCCATTATACTCTTGATGACAATGCTAATATATCGAGCTCTTCAGTGCTGGGTACTGTTCTAAGCTCATTCGCACATTTCAAGCTCTAGCGCATGGAGTCTTCCAAAAACACGCTGTAATTACATCCATTTCACAGGCGGCAGGGGCTTGGAGACCGGGTTAAAAAACGCTTGGCCAAGTGTCAGAGTACTAGGCGACCCCATGTGTAGGTGCCTTATATTTCAAAAAACTTCTTTGCTCCTGACTTTGTGGATCAAGGTCTATTTGTTTGCATCAGACTCCGCAGAAAATCTGGCTAACACAAAGATTCTGCGCTGAAGTTAGCACTGGACAGAATTTCTATTCCTCCATCTGTCTCAACTGGGGCTTTGGAAGCATGGGTAAAATCTGGGTGTTTGAGGGGATGGGTTAACAATACCCTTTGTTAGCTTTGTTTTCTTTATGCAAGTCCGTGTGCATTTCAGGGTGTTTCAGTGACCATGGTGACCTTAGTGAAAGAAGAGGTGGATTGGGGAGTCAGGGAGACCCCAGTGTGAATCTGACTGCTTTGAATCTCAGCCTTGCCACATGGGACCAATGACCTCAGTTTTCATAGGTTCAGTTTGCTCATCCATAATAAAGCGATATTAATGTCTACTCTCAAGAGGACTAATGTTGGGGTTGGAGGAGGTAGACTGTCCAAGAGCTCGGTCCCCAGTGGGTTTCCAAGAAAGCCTATTCTTCCTCTGTTGATGTTTATTCTTTCTGCTTGACAGCTCAAGTCTTTCCACTGGGAGGACATTTACAAAACCAAAGAGAACCTATGCAATTTTAAATAATCTCTTCCATTCCTCTTACCCTAACCTCTCACCCTGGGCAACTGTCATACAGGTATCTACAAGGATCAGCAGGCACCTTAAATAAGGACAATGTGCTGGGTGAACTGGAGACCAGGAGTTCTATCCCAAGGGGCGGTTGCTAGTCAAATCTAGCTGATTATAGCTCTCCATAAGTAAGGGCTCACCATAGCCAGATATTCCAAATTCTAAAGAGAAAAGCGAAGTCTGTTTTATTTATGGGAGACAGTCTTCCTTCTCCTTCTACAAGGCTGTCTCAGCTATATTTGGATCCTCTCTACAAAATTTAGAACCAGCCTACTAAGTTCCAAGAAACCACTTTTTTGGGATTTCAGTTGGAATTGCATTGCATTTGTACAGAACTGCCATTTGATAATGCTAAATCACCCCATCTATGACCTCATTGGATTTCTCGTTTATTTAAGTCTTATTTTTATAAATTTTAATAACATTTTATAGTTTTCTTCAGAAAGTTCTTGAGTAATTAAAAAAATTATTTTGGGGTGCCTGGGTGGCTCAGACAGTTAAGCATTCGACTCTTGATCTCGGCTCAGGTCCTGATCTCACGGTTTGTGAGGTTGAGCCCTGCGATGGGCTCTGTGCTGACAGCTCAGAGCCTGCTTGGAATTCTCTCTCCTACTCTCTCTGCCTCTACCCCACTCACGCTCACATTAAAAATAAATAAACTTGAAAAAAAAAACCAATAAAAAACCAAGAGAATACAATTGATTTTGTGTACTAACAACAATGATGACATCTTTTAAAATTTCCAATGGTTTTTAGAATCACCTTTAAAAAAAAATTTTTTTTTAAGCGGGTGCCTGGGTGGCTTTGTCAGTTGAGCATCTGACTTGGGCTCAGGTCATGATCTCACAGTTCATGGGTTCGAGCCCCATGTCGGGCTCTGCGCCAACAGCTCCGAGCCTGGAGCCTACTTCAAATTCTGTCTCCCTCTCTCATGAAGGTTTTCCTCTTTCTCTGCAGATCTAACAGTTCCTGGCTTACTACACTAGCCAGCATCTCTCATCTAACCAACATATATTAAGCATTTTTGTCTTATTTCTGGTTACAAAGAAATGTTTGTATTTTGAAAAGATTCGACCTGTCGATTGGGTCCTGGGTCCATCTGAAATTTTACCAACCACATCTTATATTGTAAGGTTTTGTTGGTATGTGTTTGGCCATTCCTTCCATCAGTTCTGTTTTTCTCTGGTCAGATTTTGCAGATTCCAAGATTTCTGTATTCTCTCTCTCTCTTTTTTTTTTTTTTTTTTGCCTTATTTCTCGTTGATTATCACTGTCAGCAATTTTCCCTATGAGCTGGGTAAAAGACTGACGATTTATATTTATTTCTCCGTGGAAATTGTCAGCCATTCTCCTTAGTAGTCAGATTGGCCTCTTGTAGAGAGCATTGCACCAGGAGCTACAGGGGCCAGGCAGGTACTCTGTGAAAAAATCAGTCCAGATGTTCACTGAGACCATTTACGAAGGGGAGCCTTTGCTCATTTCTGGCAAATTATTGCCATGGAAGATATCAGAATTGGTCAGTTTGGCACCTCAGTCTGGGTTCTTATTGACAGACTTCTGGCATTGCACTTAAAAATTTTTTTTAAATTTATTTTTTATTTATTTCTGAGAGAGAGAGACAGCACGAGCAGGGGAGGGTCAGAGAGAAAGGGAGACACAGAACCTGAAACAGGCTCCAGGCTCTGAGCTAGCTGTCAGCACAGAGCCCGACGTGGGGCTCGAACCCATGAACGATGAGGTCATGACCTGAGCCGAAGTCAGATGCTTAACCAACTGAGCAACCCAGGTTCTCCCCCCCCCCTTTTTTTTTACAGACTAGTTAGGAGACTTTGCCAGAGGCATGATTTGAGATGGACCATGGTAGAAGCAGGTGTTGGAGAGGAAGACAGAAAAAAAGATATGGGGGCCAGAATTTGGCAGGCCTCTCTATGTTGCAAGGGTGTAGACTGAGTGTGAGAGGAAAGTGAAGTGTGTGTATGTGTGGGCAGTGGTAGTAAGCAGTATAATTCCAGATATACTTTGAAGGCATTGCTGACAGACTTAAGCAATGTGGGGTGAGAGGTGAATCAGAAAATGAGTGGGGGGTGGGGTGGGTGCATGGGTGGCTCAGTCAGTGAAGCATCAGACTCTTGGGTTTCGGCTCAGGTCATGATCTCAAGGTTCTCAAGGTTCGTGAGTTCAAGCCCTGCGTTGAGCTCTGCGTAGACATTTGGAGCCTGCTTGGGATTCTCTCTCTCCTTTCTGCCCCTTCCTGTGCTCTCACTCTTTCTCTCAAACACAACACAACACAACACAACACAACACAACACAACAAACTGATGAGTCAAGGATGACCCCAGGTAGAGAGCTGCCATTTTGAGTTGGGGGAAGGAGTTGCGTGTCAGAGTTGCCTATTAGGCACCCAAGCAGCAGTGCTGAGTAGGCAGTTGGGCGTCTGTGGCTGGAACTCAGTGTAGAGGCCGGAGATAGGAGTCTGGAAGGCATCCAGGTAGAGATGACATCTGAAGTCACAAGACTGGAAGGGAAGGGGAACGGAGTCTGAGTGTATAAAGGAAAAGAGAGGGCTGGGTTCTAGCTCCGAGACTCTCTAATAATAAAGGGAGAAGAGGAAGAACCAGCAAAGGAGAAGGGGTCAGGAAGCCTCTGAAGAGAGTGGTTTCCTGGGCACCAAGTTTAGAAAGTGTTTCAAGGCAAGAGTGATCTGCTGTGTCAAACTCTGCACATAGGTCAAGTAAGATGAGAAGTGACGATGATGTTTAGCACAGGGCACTGGTGGCCTTGACAAGGGCGGGTTCAGAGGAGAGGTGGAAATTACTGGGGCGCTATCTCCGAGAAAAATGAGGGAGGGTAGGATTCTGTGCACAGCTGTAGGAATCGGTCTTAACGGGCAGTTCATACAGCCATAGGAGGGAGGCGATTACGTGGGGACATGAGGTGATATGAACCTGTGAGTTTACTGATCCTCACGATTTTCTTAGTGAAATAGGAAGCGAAATCATTAGCCTAGAGTGAGGATGGAGAAGAAAGTGATGGAGGTTTGATGAGAAGAGAAATATGACATAATTCTCTAGGATGATGGCTGGGGCCAGCGGGAGGATGGGATTTAAAACCCAGGCGAGCAGAACCGGGCGAGCTACGTTTCTCCTTGAGAGATTAGTCCCTCTAGGCGCTCGGTAGCCGGCGTCCGTTTCCTTGGAGACGAGACGGCCCGGTCTCGCTGGGAAATCTGAGCGGCCTAGGTTACCACGTGGTCCACGCTCAGACAAAAAAGCCGGAGAGATCTGGCATCGTAAGAGATCAGGGCCCCGCGGACTCACGACCCTTCTTCCATTTTCCCCAACGGCCCTTGTCTTTCCAAAGTAGGTAAAAGGAGCATCGATGGGCGGTGAAGTGCGCATGCGTGTCCCTCTTTCATTTGGTCCGGGCCTCATTGTCTTTTGGCCCCGCCCCCCGCCCCTCCCTCGCTCCGCCCCTCCCTCGGGCTCTCGCAGCTCCGGCTCACCCGCGTTCCAAGGGTAGTTAACTAGGTTGTTGAGACTCTGTTTCGCGTTTGCTGCTTACAGTCCCTGGGTTGGGCGTGATGGCAGTCCTTTCCCGCTCCAACCCTTTGCAGACCCAACCGGTCTGGGATTTGCTCCACAATCCACAACTTTCAGATTCTGGTGAGTCGGTGAGGCCTAAAGAGCAGATGGGGGCTGGCTGACCGCCCCCCACCCCCCACCCCCCGGGCTTGCAGTCCTTCTGCCCTGAAGCCCCAGGCTGTGACCGTCTCGGGTGGTAGAGTCTGGAGACCTGAATTCCAGGCCTGCCCGTGTCACACGATTGCTGTAGGATCCAGGGGCAATTCTCGGAACCTGTTTTTCTTACCACTTATCTCAACGTGAGGGTATCTTATGCTACTCTCTTATTTGCCTCTGATTCTGGTTTTCTATTGGGTCTTTTCCATGCCTTCTGTTTCTCGCAGTTCTTAGCACCTCACAGCCTGGATGTGCTTAGTAAGTTCTGGCTGGCTGATAGAAAAAAGTGGTAGCTGACATACCGCATGCCTCACAAATGCCCCCTGGATAGCTTGCATCAACCTGTGGAGGTAGGTTTTATAGTTAGACCTAGTTTACAGACGAGAAAATTGAGGCTCGGAGAGAAAGTCGCTTGCTCCGGGTCACAGATATCTGTAAGGGGCGAAGCTGGGATTTGAACCCATCAGGCTGTGTGACGGATTGTGTTGTATCTGGTAGGATTATGTTCCATGGCAGTGGTCCAAGCAGATACCCAGCCACCTACTCTGCCTCCTGGCCTACAAAGCAGAGATCACAAGAAGAGCAGAATGGAGGCTTTGACTGGTGATCTGCCAGGTGGGCAGAAGCCCTTGAGGGCTGGTATGGGGATGGGAGACAGGACATAGTGTATGCCCTTGGCCTTTGGTGACATCAGCTGTATTAGAGTAGGGTGATCACGGTAACAAACAATCCGCAAGTTTCAAGTATTAATATTCAAACTTATTTCTCATTTGTATCGAAGTACATATGTGGATCCGCAGGGGAGGAAGGCATCTTTTCCACACGGTCCTTCAGCATCCAGGCTTCTTCAGCCTTATGGCCCTGACAGTTAGTAAGGCCTTGAACTCCTCTGCTGGAGACTTCTGCATCCAGAGAGAGAGAGAGCAAGAATATGGGTAATTTTGTGGACACTTTTTTTTTTCAGACTTGAAGTGGTTCATACCGCTCCCCCTCATATTTTGGTGGCCATAAGTGAGTCGAATGACCACCCTTAACCCGAAGAGAAGATGGGAAATGTCCTGCTGTGTGTCCAGGAGGAAAAGAAAACAGGGTTTGGTCAACTCAGGAAAATCTCTGCCACATCATTGTCATGAGGGAGTTCTCAGGCCCATGGCTCAGACAGACATGGGTTCACATCTTGGCTCTGCCCTTTACTGTCTTGGAAAAGCCATTCATCTCTCTGAGCTTTCGTTTTCTCGCTTGTAATATGAGGACCTGATAGGATAGTTACAAGAATTAAATGTTTATTTTTGAGAGAGACAGAGCACGAGCAGGGGAGGGCCGGAGAAGGAGAAGGAGACACAGAATGCGAAGCAGGCTCCAGGCTCTGAGCTGTCAGCACAGAGCCTGACGTGCGGCTTGAACCCACCGACCGCGAGATCATGACCTGAGCTGGAGTCGGATGCTCAACCAACCGAGCCACCCAGCTGTCCCAATAACAAATATTTTGTAATATTCCTTTAGTATCTGAAATAAACTTCATAGATAATATAATTTACCTATGTATATAATTTAAAAAATTAATGTAATGCCCTCAGTGTAAAGGACACGTAAAAGGAAAGCCATATATAGTTAAATAACATCTATTTTAGTATGTAAATATGCAGGATAAACTCCACTAGAAGACATGACAAAGTGGTCAGGAGCTTATTAGTCACAGTAAAATGTAACAGTTGCAAATGCAGACTGACGGTGGCTGGATACTGGGGACTCAAATATCCAGAGGGATTTTATTCATTGCAGTCACGATTTCCAAAGTGACACCCATCTCTTGGGAAAGTTCTTAACCCGACAGAGCACAATCTTCCCTTGGTTGTAGCTGCTCTCTTGAAAATTCAGCGTTACCATAACCCTCTACAAACTTCTCTTTGTGTTTATAGGTGAAAGAGAGTCAGGTTCTGGGATCAGATTGTTACGAATAAGGTTTTCACCTACAGCCGTGTCTCATAGGGCTTTGGAAAGGCGTGCAGGACGTAGGAGAATTCTGTGTTCTGCGGGGTGTCCTATTCTGGGGCTATCCAGCGTCCCTGGCCCCCACCCACAGATGCCCATCGGGACCCCCAGTGTTTGTGAGAACACAAATCCGCCTTGCCAATGTATCTCGAACACCGCTGTCACGCTGTCGAGAGATTTGGATGTAAAGTGCTGCGCACAAGGCCTGGTGGTAGTGAGAGAATTTTTGTGTTTGGGTTTAGACCCTGTTCACCCCGCATCTACAGGGAAGCTCTTTCCTTCTTTCACGGGGGAGGCAGTGAGATGTGTAACAGGTACAACAACAGTAAGAACCCGAGTAATTAGCACATGCCAAGCACTCATTATATGCCAGAGACTGTTCTCAGCACTTCATCTGTACCACCTCATTGAGTCTTCTCAACAGCCCCGTGAGGTGGGTGCTGTGATGGTCACGTCTTCTTCTAGATGAGGCGTGGCCAAGTGTAACTTCCAAGGTGACCCAGGTTGGAGGGGGCAGGGCCAGGCTGTGACCTTTGGCAGTTTGTCTCCAGGACGCACATGCTGATGGAGAGTGTGCGGGCACTGGAGGAACAGGGACCCGGACTGGTATTCCAGCCTCCCCTCTTGCACTTCCCTGCCATGGCGCCAGTCTGCAAAGATGGCCTGCTTCGGGCTGGTGAAATCATCTGTGTAAATTATGATGATGAAAAGAGTGACCACTTGCTGAGGACTTATTTTATGTCAGGCTCTGTTGCAGAGGGTTTATTCATTCATTCATGTGTTCATTCAGTAGCATCCATTGGCTGAACACCCACGTGCCCAGCATTGGGCTGAGTTGTTGACTCAAGGTCAAGTAGGCAGGGTGGGTTTCATAGTCCCAACCTCAAACATGTAACTATACAAAACTTAAAAAATTTTTAAAATTTTTTAAATGTTAAAAAAGTCAGCCATGCATATTTATGTGGCTATATTTCTGATTTTTGAGAAGGGTGAGCAAAAACAGCTCCGTGGAAGAAAAGAAAGCCTTTTCCACAAATAGTGCTGAGCAATTGGACATCCACAGGCAAAAAGAAAAAACGAAAACAAAAAAAAACAAAAAGAAAGAAAAAAAAGAAAAAGAACCTTGACTTAAGTTTTGGAACATAGACAAAAATTAACTCCAAATTAAATATAAAATGAAACAGAAATGAAATGTTTCATGGAAAAGTGTAAACCTTTTTTTCTGGTTTTATTTAATGTTGAGACAGAGAGAGACAGAGCATGAATGGGGAAGAGGCAGAGAGAGAGGAAGACACAGAATCTGAAACAGGCTCCAGGCTCTGAGCTGTCAGCACAGAACCTGATGCGGGGCTCGAACCCACAGACCGTGAGATCATGACCTGACCCGATGTCGGACTCTTAACTGACTGAGCCACCTGGGCGCCCCAAATGTAAACCTTTTAGAAAAAAAAATTAGGAGAGAAAAAATCTTTGGGACCCAAGGCCACGTGAAGAGTTCTTAGACTTTATGCCAACAGCTTGATCCATAAAAAAATGAAATAAATGGATATAAGTTGGACGTCATCAAAAATAAAAACTTGTTCTATGTAAAACCCTGTTAAGGGGATGAAAAGACAAGCTACAGGGGCACCTGGCTGGCTCAGTCGGTTAAGCATCCGACTTTGGCTCAGGTCATGATCTCACAGTTCGTGGGTTCAAGCCCCGCATCGGGCTCTGGGCGGACAGCTTGGAGCCTGTAGCCTGCTTCAGATTCTGGGTCTCCCTCTTTCTGCCCCTCCCTTGCTCATGCTTTGTCTCTCAAAAAATAAATAAGCATTAAAAAAAGAAGAAGAAGAAAAGAGGAGCTACAGGCTTGGAGAAAATATTTGTAATCTGCATCTGACAAGGACTGCTACTACGTAGAATATGCGAGAACTCTCAAAACTCAACAGAAAAACAATGCAGTTAGAAAATGGGCAAAAGACATGAAGAGACATTTCACTGAAGAGGATATCCAGATGGTAAATAATCACATGAAAAGATGTTCAACATCATTACCCGTCAGGGATGTGCAGGTTACACCACAATGAATCGTCACTGCACACCTATCAGAATGGCTAGAATGAAAAATAGTGGTAACACCAACTGCTGGTAAAGAGCACAAACTGGACCACGCATACGTTGCTGGTGGGAATGTAAAATGGTAGAGCCGCTCTGGAAAAGACTTTGGCAGTTTCTGATGAAACCAACATGCAGTTTTCATCACGATTCAACAGATGCACTCTTCGGCATTTATTCCAGTGGAATGAAAACTTACGGGCACACAAAAACCAGTGCATGAATGTTCCTTAGCAGCCTTATTCATAATACTCGGAAACTGGAAGTAATCCTGATGTCCTCTAATGTTTCATGGTTAAATAAGCTATGGCACATCCGTACAATGGCATACTATTCATTAATCAAAAGGAAAGGATTGTTGGCATAGTCATAACTTGGATGAATCCATGGAGTTTTGCTGAGTGAAAAAAGCCAATCTCAGAAGTTCTATGTTCTACGAATCCATTTACATAGCATCCTGGGAATGGCTACATTGTAGAAATGGAGAACAGATTAGTGATCGCCAGGGGTTAGGGACACAGGCTGGGGGAGGAGGGGAAGGGGAGGGGAAGAGGCAACAGGAGTTATGCCTGTGGTGATGGAAACATTCGGTATCTTGCCCGTCTTTTTTTTTTTTTTTTTTTAATAAAGTTAACAGTTTTTTTTTTTAAATTTTTTATGTTTTATTTATTTCTGGGAGAGAGGGAGATAGTGTGAGCAGGGGAGGGTCCAAGAGAGAGGGAGGCACAGAATCTGAAACAGTCTCCAGTCTCTGAGCTGGCTGTCAGCACAGAGCCCGACGCGGGGCTCGAACCCAGAACTGTTAGATCATGACCTGAGCCAAAGTTGGACGCTTAACCGACTGAGCCACCCACGCGCCCTGTATCTTGCCCGTCTTAACGTCAGTTTCGTGGTTCTGATATTGTAGGTGGTTTTGCAAAATGCTACCATTGAGAGAAACTAAGTTAAAGATACAGATGATTTCTCTGTGTTCGTTTTTCTTAAAATGTTTTGTTTTATTTTTGAAAGAGTGTGAACAAGAGGGGCAGAGAGAGCGGGGAGTGGGGGATGCAAAGTGGGCTCTGTGCTGACAGCAGCAAGCCCAATATGGCGCTCGAACACACGAACCTTGAGATCATGACCTGAGCTGAAGTCCAATGCTTATCCAACTGATCCTTGCATATGCCCCTGTTTGTATTATTTCATAAAACTGCATGTAACTTGAACTTATCCCAGAGTTATAAGTTGTTGTTGTTGTTTTTTTTTACCTCATTTTACTTATTTATTTAGCGCATGAGTGTGAGTGGGGGAAGGGGCAGAGAGAGAGAGGGACGGGGGGGGGGGGGGGAAGGGAGAGAGAGAGAGAGAGAGAGAGAGAGAGAGAGAGAGAGAGAGAATCCCAAGCAGGCCCCACACTGTCAGCACAGAGCCTGACATGGGACTTGAACTCATGAATGGTGAGATCATGACCTGAGCTGAAGTCTGATGCTTAGCCGACTGAGCCACCCAAGTGCCCCCATAATAAGTTTAATTAAAAAAAAGAAAAAGATAAATCAGGGCTACTACCACTAATGAAAATAAAGTTATTATTAAAGCTACAAATCTCCCTAAGTATTTAAGTTCAACTTACTAATCTTAGAATTTTTACAAACACTTATAAGGGGGATTTTGGAAGTTGGTTAATTAAGTTCCTCTAATCCTTTTAAGCCACAGTAAAAAATTTCATATATTGAATTTTCATTTTCAAGTAGTTCACTTGTCTGATTAACAGAGACCATCGAGCATTTAAATAATTCTTGTACACCTAATAAATATACTTCTAGGTATGGCTAATCTTATGTCCTCTTAAATTTCGGTAATATATACACATTTAATAAGAATGTCTTCAACCTTTAACTTGAAATAAATCAAAATCTCATTTACACATTTTAAATTAGAACCACAATATTAATCTATTAATTGCTCCATCTTTATACAATACAGTTGAATACCTGAGGTATACAGATAATTCGTAACTTCAACACAAAATTAGTTTACTTTACTTCTGTAGTTAATGCTGTCATCTTCCAGGGTTAGCTGCATTGATCCATTGATGAAATAATATTTCTCTGAATTGTACTGGGTTGCACCTAGAGCAGGGATTTTGGAGGGGGGACGAGAATGTCGCCACAGCGTTCATGATTTGGGTGTTTTTTTTTTTTTTTTAAATTTATTTTTGAGACAGAGAGCAAGTGCACAAGCAGGGGAGGGGCAGAGAGAGTGGGGGACAGAAGATCTAAAGCGGGCTCTGTGCTGACTGCCGAGAGCCCGATGCAGGGCTCAAACCTGTGAACCATAGCTCATGACCTGAGCCTAAGTCGGACACTAAACTGGCTGAACCCCCTCTCCCCCAGGTGCCCTGACTGGGGGATTTGTCTCAGGCTGGCCCATGACACGCTATGAGGAAGCAGGGCTTCTGAGCACATGCCCTACACATGTCATGTCCTGAACTGCACTATTTTCACATACTCCGTATCCGGCAGGACCACAGCTATTAGAGGTGTTCCAGACAGCCAGGTGGGAGTTTTGCACGGCTCTGTGCCTTCGGGTGGTGCTGTGGTCCTAATGCCAATCCTCGGGTCACCAGTAATAGATAGCAGTGACAACTAGAAATGCGTATTCAGCCCTGAGTATGAGTCAGGCACTCCCGCAAACACTCTAAGGTAGAGTGACATTTAATCTTTAAAAACCCGATGAAAGAGGCATGCTAATTATACCTATTTTATAGGTGGGAAACTGAGGGACAGAGAGGTCATGTGACCTGCCCAAACTCACAGGCTAGTGGAAAGCAGCGTCTGGATGTGTACCCAGGCTGTCTGGCCGATTGGTTTTTGCCCGTCACCCCTGCCCTATCTGACTTTGCTACCAGCCAGGTTGGTGGGAGAGATCGCGGGCACCTGGCTGTCTCCGTTGCTTCTCTTCTCGCTCCTCCGCTCCTCCCCGCTGTCCATACCCATAGTCACGTGGAAGCCCCCTGTGCTTCTCTGTCCCTTCTATCAAGGCCCAGAGTGGGGCCTGGGAGCTTCCTGATAGATGTGAGTTCTGTGATCTGCCTCACTGTCACATATGAGGTGGAGAGTGGGTGGGGGCGGGGCCGGGGCCGTCTCAGTGGATGGTACTGGGACCCGCCCCTAGGCCTGCTATACCCTCACTCCCTCTCTGCCCTTTCCTGTGCCCTAGGATTGCATTCCAAGCCCACCACGTCGATGACAAGCAAGCTGAGGAAGCCACAAGAAATGCACAGAGGGAGGTCGAACTCTGGGAAGCCGCAGGCCAAAATCCGGCTCATGGGGGTATGAGCATCCCCCCATAGGCACCGGGGCCCGGGATGGGGGCGCAGGGCCAGGGGGCCAGCAATAGCGAACACGCCCTGAACACTGGGTGGATCCTGGGCTCATTTATTCCTCAACAAGGCCGCGGGCAGGCTTATCATCACTCCCATTTTACAGATGGGGGAACTGAGGTGCAAGGCGAGAAAGGACCTGTACCAGGTCATGTAGCCAGAAAATGGTAGTACCAGGGATTGGAGCCACTTAAGCAGAGCGTTTGCCTTTGCGTTTACGACTAGGAACGTGATCGGAAGAATCACTTTTTATTTCACTGCATTAGGAACTCAGCCTGGTGGGTTGTCTGTTTAGACGTTTCCAGTAAATTAACCTTTCATGGGACACGATGGACCTCGAAGCAGAGCTTAGAAGCTCACTATTATATCTTTCACACCTCTGATACAGTTTTAGAGAGTAATTTTCTTCCCATCCATTGTTTTCTATATTTCTCAACAGTGTTTTAGGGTATTTGAAATGACTTAAGGGTCTGTGTCCACAGAAGAAAGTAGAATACTAAATACTATTTAAAAAAATTTTTTTTTTAACATTTATTTTTGAGAGACAGGGTGTGAGCAGGGGAGGGACAGAGAGAGAAGGAGTCACAGAATCCGAAACAGGCTCCAGGCTCTGAGCTGTCAGCACAGAGCCCAATGCGGGGCTCGAACCCATGAACCATGAGATCATGACCTGAGCTGAAGTCGGCTGCTTAGCCACCCAGGCGCCCCAGAATACTAAATACTATAAATACGACAAAATACTGTAGAAGAATTATTAATTCCTTCAAGAAAGTTTTTAAGAGCTCAGTGAACAATTACTAGATAAAGAAATGGGGAAGAATGCTTTGAAACCTTTTCTTCCCTCTAACCTTCAAGTTTGCAAAGTGGTTCAGAGGCGGCTCAGCGTTCTTAAAAGAGAAACTCATATTTCTGGGGTTATTTTTATTTGTTTTATTATTTTATTTTTAAAGTTAAAAATTTTTATATTATTTATTTATTTTTGAGTTTATTTTGAGAGCGAGAGAGAGAGGGCAAGTGTGCTCACGGGGAAGGGGCAGAGAGAGACAGAGAGAGAGGGAGAGAGAAAGAATCCCAAGCAGGCCTCATGCTGTCAGTGCGGAGCCGGATGTGAGGCTCGAACCCATTAACTGTGATGCGAGATCACGGCCTGAGCTGAAATCAAGAGTCCCAATGCTTAACTGACCGAGCCACCCGGGCACCCCTGTTTTTATTTATTTTTAGGGGGTGGTGGTGGGGCAGAGAGAGGGAGAGGGACAGAAGATCTGAAGCCAGCTCTGTGCTGACTGCAGAGAGCCCAATCCTGGGCTTGAACTCACGAACCATGAGATCATGACCTGAGTGGAAGTCGGATGCTTAACTCACTGAGCCCCCCAGGCTCCCCTCGTGTTACTTTTGTCCTGAGTTTAGAACTCAGACAATTTCCCTCTGACACCTGGGCTTTTGAACAGTTCCTAATGTTGTATCCTGTAGTCATTTGTTTAGTCAATAAATATTTATTGAATGCCTCCTGTGTGCCAGGCTCTGCTCTAAGTATAGAGGATTCACCAGTGATATGGCTGGCATCTGACCTTGGGGAGATCATATTCTACTTTGGGAGACAGACAAGAAACAAGGCAGATAAATATATAATATGTGCCGTGATGATAAGAGGCTTGAAGAAGCCCAAAGATTAAGGTTAGGGGCCAGAGAGGCACAGAGGGAGAGTGGCTGTGATAGGGTGGTCAGAGAAGGCTGCTAAAGTGGTGCTCTCTGAGGGAGAAATGTATCTAGATAGACGAGCCGCAAGTGCAAAGGTCCTGAGGTTGGTATACCTGGAGCAGGTGATGGGGAAAGATAGTGGGAGTGGGGGTATAGGTGATGGCTTGTGTGCGGCTCTGCGTTGGGCTTTGTGTTTCTATGCTGAGTAAGACAGGAAGGCCCTGGAGGATTCTGGGTAGAGCAGGGACATGATCCGACCTAGGTTTTCACTGGAGTCCTTGGGCATGGAGGAAATTCCCAGGAGACCATGGAGACAAGGCAGAAACAGGAAGGGAGCAGAAACTACCCAGCTGATTTGCTCTCGGAGACACAATGGGATCCTGACTCTGCCCCTCAGTCTCGGGATAGTTACTTATTGCCTCTACAACATTTGAGAGAGTGCCTCCTAGGTGCCAGGCGCCATGCCAGGTGTTGGGGACACAGCCGTGGACAAAGCCCTCAGGTCTGTTCCATTATGGAGCTTCCGCTGTAGTGGGGAGCCCTATAATAAACGAATGAAAAAAACCCCAAAGAATAGTTACTCATGTTTATTCAACCCTTACTTGTGGAGACCCAGTAACTGTCCTCTGTGCTGTGCCCTATGGCTGTGCGGAAACATGGCTTCCCCCACCCGCCCTCCCAGCTGTGACATTCTGTGTGTGTGTGTTGGGGGGGGGGAGGCGGGGGGGAAGAAACAAGAAAAAGAAGAAGATAATAAGAAAAATGTATAATTAAAGGTTGGGGTGAAGATCAGGAAGGAAGCAAAGCAGGGCTTCCGCACCAGATCTGGTGGTCAGGGCGCATCCACTTCGAGAGCAGAGATCATGAATTCTGTGGTTGATCCGAATCCCCTGGGAGCCCCAGCGACCTTAGCTCGGCGGGCTTCTGTGAAGCGAGGCTGACGGTAGTACCAAGCGAGGTAGGGTGTGTGGAGTGCTTTGCACAGTTTTGGGCACCTAATAAACATTCTGTGCGTTCGCACTATTACTATATGAGGAATATGGGAGCTGAAGGCCAGGAAAGGGAAGTTTCTAGTAAAAGAGAAACGAGGAAGAACAGAGGAAGAGAGCAAGCACGGAGGTGTGGCGGGGGTGGAGGGCTCAAGCCAGTGGGAATCATATCAGCCACTGCTCCTGAGTCACACTGAGTGTTCCCAGCACTGCCACTAAGTGGCTTGATTGTGAATATCACCTCCTGTGTTTTCTACAGCGGCTCTCGGAGTCAAGTATGCTTCCTGACCTTCAGAAAGAGTATGTATAGCAGGGTTCTTGGGAGGCTAGAACCTCTGAGATTCTATTTGCCCAGATTCCCTGCGGTGGTGAGTGGCAGAGCTGGTATTTGAACCAAGTGTGTCGGGGCCTTATGTCCACAATTTTAATCACTATGGGGTTCAGCCACATCTGGTGGCTTTAAGCCCACTCACTTCCTTGTCTTGGTGCGGTGAGAAGCCAGACATCGGGAATCAGAAGGCTGGCTTTCCAGTTCCGGGGCCATTACCTTCTGGCTGTGTGACTTTAGGCAAGCCACTTAACCTGGCTGAGCATTTGTCAATAAAATAAGAGTTAGTTGGGGGCGCCTGGCGGGCTTATGGGTTGAGTGACCGATGTTGGGTCAGGTCATGATTGGGCTTGCTGCTGTCAACACAGAGCCCACTTGGGATCCTCTGTCCCCCCTTCCTGCTCCTCCCCCACTTGTGCTCTCTCTCTTCCCCTCTCTCAAAAATAAACGTTAAAAAATAGCATGCGTTTAAAAAAAAAATGAGGGGCGCCTGGGTGGCTCAGTCGGTTAAGCGTCCGACTTTGGCTCAGGTCAAAATCTCACGGTTCCTGCGTTCGAGCCCTGCGTCGGGCTCTGTGCTGACTGCCAGCTCAGAGCCTGGAGCCTGTTTCAGATTCTGGGTCTCCCTCTCTCTCTGACCCTCCCCTGCTCACACTGTCTCTCTCTCACTCTCTCAGAAATAAGGAAAACATTAAAAAATTTTAAAAAAATGAAATAAGATTTAGTAAACATAGGATAGTGCCTTTGGATGAACCGATGCCGTGAGCTGGGTTCAGAGTGAGGCACAGCGCCCAACACACAGTAGGCCCCCAACAAATCTTATGGTTGTTACTGTAGATTTGGTGCACCTGCGACCCTAGGCAAGTCCCTTGACCTCTCAGGCCCTCATCGTTGCCATAGAGACCACGTGTGAAATGAGACAGTAGTCGTGCAGCTCAGCGATTTTTCTTGCCTCCCCGCTTCTCCACACATGGCCCGTCACCTCTGCTACCTTCTTCCCTACCTGGGGTGGTTTTCTATTTTTATTACTGTTCTTATTACTGTATCTTATTGATTCAAAGAAGCCAGCTATCATAAGGTGCAGCTTTATCCTATTTACCCACGAACAGAATTTTGTCGGTTAGATCGTGGCACCCCTATCTCTGAGACGTAAGGTTAGGGGAAAATGGGCGTTCCGGAAAAGAGATGAGGTTGTCCAGCGGCTCTGACCTCAGACAATGGGGTCGCATTGACCAGTCGCGACCACAAGGGGGCGTGCGTGCGGCGGGAGGGAAGCGGTCCTGGGGCTCCGGGAGGCCCCCCGGCGTCCCGCGCGGCGCCGCCTCCCATCTCCACCCCCTCCTCCGCCCGCAGACGTTGCTCAGGCATTGGCGGAACTCACTCCAGGAGCTCTGCAGCCATGAGGTCTTCCTCACCAAGCTCAACTGGGAGCTGGTCGAGGCCATCCAGGACATGGAGGAGAGCTCGGCCCTGAAAGCGCACGCGATGCTGCAGCAGCAGGACCTCCTAGCGGTGAGGCCGCGCCCGCACCCCCCTCGCCTCCGCCCCGCGCACCTCCGTCCGCTCTCGGCGCCGCCCCGCTGCGCGCTAGGCTGCCCTCTCCCGGCCGGTTGCGCAAGCGGCTTCCTTCTGGAAGATGCGTCTCCCACACTTGGCCCCACCTGCCTGGCCTTTGGAATCAGACCCAGATTGGGGCTCATCCCAACGCCAGCACTTATGAGCCCGGGGGTACTTGGAGTGAACCTCTGAGCTCTGTGAAATAGGGCACAGAGCACCCGCCCCAGATGGGGGCGGTTGTCCTTGGCACACAGTAGGTGTGCAAGAGAAAGTGGCTGCAATCACCACCCCAATCGGCAGATACTTACACAGTGTAATACTGGGTGCTCTGTCTACACTCACATAATCCTTACAACAACCCCCTGGGGGTGGGCATTATTATCTTTATTTTACGTAGGAAAAAATGGAAACACAGAGGCTTGGTAACTTGCCCAGGGTCACCCTCTTTGGGTGTGCCTTCTCTCGGTGTCCCCAAATGGCTTTTCCTCTTTGCTCACATGGAGAGAGAGGTCCCTCGTGTCCCCTCCTCTTGTCACAAGCACACTGGCCTTATCGCATGAGAGCTCCACCCTTTTGACCTCATTTGACCTTCATAACCTCCTTAAAGGTCCTATCTCCAAATACAGTCATATTGGGGAGTTAGGGCTTCAGCAGGCGAATTTGGGGTGGAGGGGACCCAATTCAGTCTCTAACAGAGGCCAAGGACCTGCAGAGTTATTTGTCCCAAACTTAGTAGAATATTCTGGAAACTTAGACGAAGTCATTGTTGACTGTCTGGCATTAATCCGTTAATACATTTGTCGTTCAGCCTGAGGGCTTCCTGTGGGCCCTTGGGACACAGTGACCCAGGGGCCACGTTGTCTACATCAGGCTCTCCTTGTAGTGGGGTCTCTGGCACTTAGAAAGCTGTGTGTACTGCCGCAGGGATGGGGTGTGGGGAGCTGAGAGGGGCCCTGTGGAGAGCGGGAACGTGGCCAGCTCAAGGAGCCACATGTTGACCCAGGCCAGGCCAGGGCCCTGTCAGCCTAGCTACTGAGTTTGGACCTTATTTATAGGGCAGAGGGGAGCCACCGGAGGGGTTTAAATAGCAGAGGGATGAGGTCAGCTTTTTTTTTTTTTTTTTAAAAGAAACATCATCGTGACTCTGTGTGGAGCATAAATCCAAGGACAGCCAGGCAGGAGATGAAGACACTTAAATAAGACAGTGGCAGCGGGGCTGGAGAGAAGGACGCAGCTTTGGGGGCTGTTGGGTTTTAAATCCTTAGCACTTGGTGGCATCTCAAAGGAGGGGGGAATGGGGACCACAGCCTGGGTTTGGGCCGTGCCATCGGCCTGGCTAGGTGGGTGGTCGAGGGGACCGTGTGGAAGGGGTTGGCGAGCCTCTGGGCAGGTTGCTGGGTCTGGGAGTGGGGCTGGATCTGAGGACTCCTCCGAGGAAGTGCCGGGTTTGACCCTGCCCCTCCTGCAGACCATCATCGACATCTTGGAGTGGTCCAACCAGAAGAAGCTGCAGCAGCTGACACGTGAACTTAAGGAGTGGGAGGAGAAGGAGGAGTCCAAGATAAAGTGTGAGAATCCGGGGGGCGAGCTCCCCATCCCCTCTCTGGCTCCTGGGAGGTCAGCAGCGCACCCACCTTGCACCTGCCTTTTGGAAACCAGCAGCCCCATCATCTCCCTGCTTAGGCAGATGGGACGCAGGGACTGTTCACCCATTTTGCAGATGGGAAAGCTGAGGCTAAAGAAAGTGAAAGTAGCCCGCCGAAGGGCAGGGAGCGGGGAGCCGGAATCCAGCCCCAGCTTCCTCCGTTTCCTGCCAAGGTCGCTCTGGGAGTCAGTGGCTGGGCCTGGTCCCAGGTCTTCCATCATGTTGAGCCTGTGGTTTCTTTCCCGGGAGCAGACTGGAAGCCCTCTGCGGGACGGGGTGGTGTGTCAGCGAGCCTCAGACCCTGGGACGCCACCCCCCACGGAGGGCAGCAGGACAGACTTTCTCTTCCTGGTCATTTTATGGGCTCCTTGCCTTGGGAGCAAGTGTGTGAGGAGGCCGAGGTCCAGGGAGGGACAGTCTTGGCGAGGGTCGCACAGTAAGTCAGCTGGGACTAGTCTAGCGATGTTGCCCTGAGTGTCACTTTCCTACCCCGTGCTGCCTCTCCTGCCGGGGGTAAAAGACTCTCTCGGGACTTAGCTTTTCACCGCCTCCCAGCCTTGTGTGAGCTCGCTTCAGCCAGAGCCACTGGCCCGTGGAGAGCTCTGCCTCCCGGATCTCCTGCGAGGGGTCCTTGAGGGAGGATCCTGCCTCCTGTCCCCCCCGATCCCTCCAGACCTGGAGCAGCAGGTGGAACAGCTGAATGCCAAGATCGAGAAGACCCACAAGGAAGTGAGCTTCCTGAGCACGTACATGGACCACGAGTACCCTATCAAGGTGGTCCAGATCGCCAGCCTCATGCGCCAGCTGCAGCAGATGAAGAACGCCCAGCAGGTAGGTGGGTCCTTGGCCCTGCCCCGCTGGGCCGCGCTGGAGACAGGGCTGGTGGCCAGACGCCCTCCTGCCCGCCCCTAGGATGAGCTGGATGACCTGAATGAGATGCGCAGAAAAGTGCTGGAATATTTGTCTGAGCAGCTTCAGAAGAAGCAGAAGAAGCTTCTGAGCTCTCTGGTGGTGGTGAGTAGCCGGCCGCTGGGCCGGGGATCCCAGCCCTGCTTTCTTCCCCGCCCTCTGCCTCCGGGCCCCCTGCGCCAAGCACTGTGGGGCCAGACCTCTCCTTCCTCCCCAGAAAAGCCAGCAGCCCCATCAGGAGGCTCTTCTGCACAAGATCTGGGAGGGCCAGCAGATGGTGAAATATATGGACAAGTTCAGAGAAGTGAGTGGCCACGGAAGGTGATGGTCCCTCTGGCTGGGAGCGGAAGGGAGGGCGGTCCCCACGGTCCGGATCTGGCGCTCAGCAGGTCTCCAGCCCTGGTGCCAGCCTCCCTCCTAGCTAGTGCCGGTCCTGTCACCTGTCATTCATCTTAGGAGGAGGTTAGTGCCCGCTGAAGCCTTGACTCGTTGACCAGGGTAATCACCAGACGTTGTCTGCTCAGCCATCATTTTACTTTTGTTACCGCCCCCTGTATTCATGCTTTAATTTTTGTCACTCCCCATCACCCGTTAGCCCTGTGAATGAACTTCACTGTCAGCCCCCTCTCGCACTAACTTTCATTATCCTCCTCCTTCATCTGCTGTCGGCGCCAGGGGCCTTCGCTGCCAGCCCCCATTAGTCCTCATTATCAGGTACTGCCCCCTCTGCCACCCGTCTCCATTCTCCGTGATCTCCTGGCCGCTTTCAGCACCACCAGATGGTGGCATAAGTCGGGAGCCCAGGAAGCCCCCAGGTGTCCTCACTGCACCTCCGTTCTGCCCTGTTCTCCCTGTTGCTGGGGGACATTGGGCTTCTCACTCTCCCCCACTGGGGGCCTCTCCCCTCAGTTTATCAGCCAGTTTGAGGAGGAAATACCCATGCTGAAGGCCGAGGTGGAGCGGCTCCAAGTCCAAGTCCGGGAGCCCCGAGAGATCGTGTTTGCGGATGTTCTGCTCCGGAGACCCAGGTATGTGATCCTCTCGGCGGCTGCCTCTTAACCCACCGCATCGGGGGCTTGAAGAGGCCCTCTGATCCCGGGGAAGGCGGAACCCTGTACAGGGGGCAGGGAGACCGGGGTCTCGCCTCGGCTCTGCAGCTGACCACGTGGCAGACGTGACCTTCCCCGTCTGGGCCCATGTGTCCCACCAGTGCACAGGCAGCTGACTTATGTAGTCTCTTTGGATCCCCTTCTGGTTTCCTGATTCCAGGCTTCCACCACGTGGGTGCTCCCCTAAGCTCCTGGGTTGTTCGGGAAGATGGAGTTGAGGGGGGCAGTTGGCTCTGGGGAACAACGGCCGGAAGACACTGTGGGGAGAGAAGGATGTCCTCCCTGCCGGGCAGACTGCTGGGCTCCAGAGGAAGAAGTTCCTTCCTTCCACAGCCAGTTCTCTGCCGCCTTCCTTGGGTCTGGCCCTCTGCGGGGGGGAGGGAGCTTAGGGGTCCCGCTAGGCCAGGCCTCTCCGTGATGGCACGCAGGACCCGGGGCACCTCCATGTGGAGCTCCCAGGTGCCCCCAGGTAGGCAGCTGACCTCAGAAGACAGATCCTGGCTAGAGATGGAAATTTGGGCATTGCCAACATAGAGATGCCTTTTCTCCATCTTCTCTTTCTCCTCCTTCCCTTCCTCCTCCTCCTCCTCTTCTTCCTCTTCCTCCTCCTCCTCTTCTTTTTTTACTGTTTATTTTTGAGAGAGAGACATACAAAACATGAGCAGGGGAAGAACAGAGAGAGAGGGAGACACAGAATCTGAAGCAGGCTCCAGGCTCTGAGCTGTCAGCACAGAGTCTGACGTGGGGCTCGAACCCACGGAACTGTGAGATCATGACCTGAGCCGAAGTTGGACGCTTAACCAGCTGAGCCACCCAGGCGCCCCTAGGGATGCTTTTCCGTTGTACCATTATCATGAAACATTTCAAACATACAGACGGTAGAGAGGCTATTACGAGGAATGCCCAGTTGCACGTGTAGTTTTAGGAGCTGTTATGTTTTTGTCACATTGGCCTCATCTTCGCTCCTTCCCTTCTGCCTGTGACATGTTGTGAGTTGCGGGCAGCCTGACGTTTCACGCCTAAAGACGTCCGTGTGTGCCAGGAAGATGAGGGAAGGCGTGAGCGTGGGTGGGAGAGCCGGGACGGGGTGGAGGGAGAATGCCATGTGTGTGCCCTCGGGATGCACCGCGGATGCAAACCCATTGCTCTTGCTGCTTTGTGGAGGGAACGACGCCTGTCAGTTACTGAGCGCTCTTTCCGAGCCGGCATGGTCTCGCTCAGTCCACCTGCCAATGACAGGTTGTGAATGTCACCCCCGTTTGACCAGTGAGGAGGTTGAGGCCGCTCTGGGGTCTGGCACGCGTGAGTGCGTGGTACAGAGGTGCCCACGGAAGGAGCAGGGCCAGAGGGGAGCAGTTTGCTCGAGGGGACACAGAGCCACGTTTCCAAGCCCGCCACTCTGACTGTAAAGGGTACAGAGTGCGTCCTGGGGAGCCCGCAGCATCTCAGGGCTGAGTTCCTGCTCCCTCTTGACCTCAGACCGCGGTAGGGGACATTAGTCGCGCCAGACCCTTTCGTTTGTCATTTCTGGCGTGTGTGTGCGCACGCACCTGCGCCCACACGCATACTTGGGCTGCAAGGTCACAGGTGTTTTGGGATGGGACACAGCCAGGTACCCGTGTTCTGAGGAGCAGGGCTCCCGAGGGCCTCCTCCCCCTCTACAGCGCTGGTGCCCTGTGTGGCTTCTCACACCTTCTTTGCTCTTCTGTACCAGGTGCACCCCGGACATGGACGTCATCCTCAACATCCCCGTGGAAGAGCTGCTCCCCTTCTAGATGGCGGGCCAGGGGCTACCCTTCCCTCCCTGCCCTTTCCCCCTGGGGCCTTGACTTGTCTCCTTCCATGACCACGTGTCCCCTCAGACCCTGGTCTGCCCTGCCTCTCTCCTTCCTCTCCCTCCCTTCCTTTCTTCTTCTCCCTCCTTCCCTCCCTCTTCTCCTTTCCCCCTCCCTCCTTGCCCCCTTCCTTTCCTTTCCTCCCTCTGTCCCTCCACCCTTCCTCTCCCTCCTATCTCCCTCTACCTTTCCGCTCTTTTCCTCCCTCCCTCTCTCCTTCTACCCTTCCGCTTTTCTTTCTGGTTGGTTCTGCTGGTTGGGCCAGATGGGCGTTCCCAGTGAAGTGTGCCACTCCTTCTTATCAATAAAGCTGGCTTTGCACTTGCTCTTTGGCCTGGAGATCTCCAGCTAGGCCTGAGATGTGGCAGGCATGGATCGTCCTAATGTGAGGGGTGGGTAACTGCCGACTGTGTCTGGGGGCACCGCAGGCCCCGAGAAGTGTCGCATGAGCCCCTGCCTGAATCTCCGTGGCTCCGGGCTGCCTTGTCCCAGGGGTGGCGGGAGCCCAGCTTTTCCCTCCTGATTTGTACTCAGACCTTTTGAGGCCAGTGCCAGGGTACAGGGGAGACCGTCCCCGAGTCTGACGCCCCTGGGGACTTGCTGGGCTTTCGTGGCCTGTGGCCGTTTGTGTTCTCGTGCAGCTGTCTGTCCAGTGCCTGTGCCCCAGCTGTGCGTGGACGTGACACCCCCCCCCCAGGTGCGTAGCTGGGCACAGCCCCCAGCGTGTGCTCCTCTGCGGCCGGCCGGGAGGGGTGCTCCTGGGACCCCCTCCGTGCAAGGACTGCCCTCAGGTGTCTGGGAGCGCCACTGGCACGCATCCTTCCGCCGCCGGACCCTGGGGCGGCCTCACCCGCAGAGGCTGCTGCGTCTAAGGTCAGCTGCCGCCCCACATCCCATCACCATGCCGTGTGCAAATACCACAGGCCCTGCCGTCTGGGCCACACCCGGGACGACTCTGAAGGCGTGTTCTGGCCTGTGTTCTGACCCGGAACTCCCTGTGGGGTCAACTGAAACAGTCCCGGTGGCGGCCTTGCAGCTTGACCTCTCCCTGCACCCAGCCCCGCCTGCCTCGCCCTTCCTCGGTGGACTGACTCCCAGGTGCTGCTTCATGAATGAACGTCCTGCACTTGACACTCCGCCTCAGAGTGGCTCCCCGTCCCGACCGAGACTCTGGCTGCTCACCGGTCCTCTGTGTCTGCAGAGACTTTGGGCTGCAGATTATGGACCCCTGACCGAACTGGCCTAAATGACAAAGGGCTCAGGTAAGTCAGTGTTCTAGGCGAGGCCAGGCTTTATCCAGGACTCAAGCAAGGGCATCAAGGACCCCGTGTCTGTTCCTCTACTTTGTTCTCCAGAGTGTTCCCCTCCCCTGAGGCTGGCACTCCTGCGGTCACGGCGGCGTGGCTCCCAGCAGCCCCTGGGGGTAGCGATTCCTTGGTCACATCCTCTCTGTCGCAGAGCTTCTAGCCGAAGTCTTCATCGTCCCTGCACGGGACTGGCTTAGAGCGCCTGCCCGCCTAAAGCTGTCCAGGAGGTGGAGACCGCCTTCTGGTTTAGTCCCGGGGGTGAGCCCCACCCTTGGAGCCGGGGAGGGGTGGTCGGGGTGGAGCATGTGACCTAGGCTAGGCCAGTAGACGCTTCCAGAAACACACGGATCGCCAACTTGAAAGGGATAATGTCTTTTTTTTTTTTTTTTTTAAGATTTTACTTTATTATTATTTATTATTTTTTTAACATTTAGTTTTGAGAAACAGAGCACAAGCAGAGGAGGGGCAGAGAGAGAGGGAGACACAGAATCTGAAGCAGGCTCCA